TCAATTCTCCTTCTATCCTCCCTAGTCATTGTCCAACTCTCTGATGCATAACAAGTGATTGCAAAAACCATGGCCTGTATCAGGCAGACCTTAGTCTCCAGAGAGACACTGTTGCTCTTGAGTACAGACTTTCCCATCGCAATACGTTTTTTGATTTCCTGGCTACCGGTGCCAAGAGTGTTGACCGTGGAGCCGAGCAAACTGAAGCTGTGAACTTAAGAAATAATGGAAAGATCAGTGAACTTTAACTTGCCCTATTCCCATCACTTTATCTCCAGCTTCTTGGCAACTTCCAAAACAAAGTCTGGTTTTCCACAGTGGAAATAAAAAATGATTCCTGACAAAATGGAGATATTGAAATTATTGAAAAGATTTAAAAGCAGTTATTTTTAAACATGTTTAAAAAATTAAGTGAAACAATGTTTAAATAATACACGAGGATGTGTTCACCCCCACTCTGGTGGCTTAGTAAGAAGATACACCGTTTGGTAAGCCTTAGGCAAGTGGTTCAAATCCACATGCTGTTCTGAAGGAGGAAGATGGGCCATCCCCTCCTGTATGATTTACAGCCTTCAAAAACCTGCTAGAGAGTTGACTGAGTCAGTTCTGACTTCATAACATGTAACAGCAGCATAAAGCAGGAACTTATTCTATTGATTGGAACACAGTTTATAACATAATTTGTATGAAAATAATGGCATAAAGGATGGAGGAAGTGGAGATACATAGGAGGTAAGTTTTAATACTGTACTGACTGAAATTAGACTCTCATTAACCTAAACTAGATTGTTATAAATTGAGATGCTCATAGTAATCCCCAGGGAACACTAAAAATGAAATGTCAATAAAATGAACCTAGTAAAAAGGGTAGCATTTGCTTAAAGCAAAGCTCAGAGAATAGGAAACGGTAAGAGAGAAAGGCAAATGGAAATGTAGAAACCAGAAGTGGGAAGATCACTACCATTATTATCAAACAAGGATGTGTATGCATTGTTGAAAACTGATGTTAACTTTTACCCAAACTACATTATTAGAGGATTGTGTGCATTTACATATATACTCAGCTATGTATTTTTTTTTTTTCTTAAGAAGCTCTGGTGGCTTAGGGATAAAGGATTGTGCTCCCAACCCAAAGACACAGGGTTCAAATCCACCAACTGCTCTGCAGGAATCAAGATGGGCAATTTTCTCCCATGTGATTTTTACTGCCTTTGAAAACCCATTAGAGTCAGTTATGAGTCAGCTCTGACTCAAAAGTACACAATATACATGTGTTTAGGGAGCTCTGGTGGTCTAGTGGGCAAGGAGGTGCACTGCTAACCTAAAGTCACATGATTCAAATCCATCAGCTCCTTTGCAGGGGGGAAAAAACCCGGTTAGTCTTCTGTGTGATTTATACCACCTGACTTTGTTGGAGGGTTTAGACACACACACACACACATTTAAACAATACAAGGGAATTACAATTGTACCCTAGAAAACACACACACACACACACACACACACACATATACTCACTCAAATACAAAAACAGTGGTAACAAAAAATAATAGTAGTAAAGGATAAGGGGAGGAAAAGCCTCAAGATAAGCTGAAAGCAGCCAAATCCTACGTTAACAGGTGCTGTCAGAGGCTATAAATCACACGGGAGAAGATGGATATATTGTAAACACTCCAATCAAAAGGTGAAGACTAGTATAGTAGACTAAAACAGATGTATGATTAAAGTAACTCTCAAGATGGCACAACTAAAACACCTAGTCATTAAACAGCAGTTGGCAACACCAATGCTCCACCTTCAACAAAAGTAGCTTCTTTGTATCTTTTACTAGACTAAACGTGTGTGTGTGTGTGTGTGTGTGTGTGTGTGTTTTTATATATATATATATATAGTGACCTGTACAGATTAAAGAGGATGAATAATGTATAAGTGGTTATTCACAGAATTTAGAATACAATGCTTCAGAAATCGTGCCAAGTATTTTAATATGCATAATTAATTTATCCAGAAAGGTTCTGGTTCTTTTATGATATAAAGGCCAGTTATCTCAAAAACGTTTACGAATAAGATTACTAGTCAGTTTCTTACAGCACTAATTCCAAAGGAACAAAAGTGGAAAAATCACATACCCTCATACAAACACATCCACCACACACAAACCTATTTGCTATTAGAAAAGTGAATTTAGACTTAATTATTGTCTACTTGTGTTTATTTTATGGAAGAACGGTGATAAGAGCAGGAATAGCTGAAAAGATAAAAATAATAAAAATTTAAGATACACAAATGTTAAAATTAATAACACAATAAGAATTCAAAATACATTCAAATAATTGCAAGTTCTTAAGAAACACCATAAAATAAATACCCCACGTTGAATTTTTTTGTCTATGGATTTAATATATTATTTATTTTCTAACTGAAAATTTTACTTAGGAAAAATTAAGACCAACTTTAAGAAGCTTCAATATTCATTTTTATTACTTATAAAAAATTTAAGGTATCAGAGTGCATATGGTGTACTGTGAGCTTGGTTTTACACATTTAGTCATGTTTTACATTATTTCAACTTTAATAAACATTCTGTGTATCTTTTACAATGTCTGAGATAGGTTTAGCAGCCTGGCACTTTTACATGAATTATTAGTTCCTTTTGATGCTCTGCACCTTCAAAGGATGTTAAAATGTTTTGCCTGAAATAATTACAAGATGAAGATTTATTGAATCGGTTATGTTCCAGCTATTGCCACACATTTGTGATGGTTTTGTTTTTATTCCCTTAATTGAATATAAATGTTTGCTTAAAAAAATCTGGAAATTAGGTTCTGTTACTTTTTAGTCCAACAAGTAATTTTAGCTACACTTAATGTAGCTTTTTAAGGCCTTTATACATGGAAAAAAATTAAAGTCAAGCATGTTAAAACCCTGTTCATTTATAAAATAAAACTTTTATAGGTTTGCAGTTGCTGCTCAAACCTGTCATGCACATAATAATCTGCGACCCAACTCAAAAGTCCTTGGTGCTGGCAGTCAGGGCATACATCCTGTTGCCAGCAATGTGAGGCATTAAGAAAACACCATGATGTCAGAGGTCTAGATTTTCATGTATTAAGCCACACGCCAGCAAATTCTCTGATAAATACACATCATTTAATAATCAGTATTTGATAGCAGATGAAAACATGCATTAGACTAAAAATGTCACAAGCTGTTTTTATACCCATTCACTATAAAACTTTCTTTCTTTTTAAATTTTGAGTCTTGGTTTCCATTTTAGAATATGCAATAATCAGGCGGATACATGATGGGAAGCCAGTTTTCAGTAAAAGATGCACAATGGGTCCATCCAAGTAACTTCATCAGCTAAAAAAAAACACCCACAAAGACACATAGTTAAAAGTAAGTAACAGATTTTGAGGGCTTAATACTTAGGGTACATTCTGTATTAAAAAGTATTATAAGGAATCCTGGTGGGAAAATGGATATTTGGTTACTACCCAAAAACTTAGTGGTTTGAACTTCTTATCTCTTTGCAGAACAGAAATGTGGCAGTCATCTTCCAAAAAGACCTTCAAAACCATGTCCAGTTCTACTTGGTCTAAGTCAAAATTGACTTGAAGGCAACAAATTTGGTTTGATTTGAGTAGCATACAGAACACTGCTTCTTATCAACCAACCTTCTATCAGTCAACCAGCCAATTTTCCTATTAACTAAACTTTCTTCCTAGCAATAACTTTCCTTTTGGTCAATCTACATTCTTTGCAATAACTTGCATTTCCTGATGTTGAGACTCAAAATGAGGGGAAACAGCTGGAAGCATTCCTATCAATAACAGGAATGTGAAATGTATATGGAATATAGTAATGTATACAGGAATATATTGCATATATGTATATATGTAATATAGGGATGAATATAGGAATGTGGAATGTGTATGAATATAACACAATTGCAAACTGTCAACAATTAAATGGATGTCACAAAGACTGACATTCTATAGGTAAGCTCAGATGGACTGGTATTGACCATTCTGAATTAGACAATCAGATGATCTACTATGCTGGGAATAATGGATTGAAGAGGAATAATTTCACATTTATTGTCAAAAAGAACAATTTAAGATCTATCCTGAAGTATAACGCTGTCAGTAATAGGATAGTATCATACTACTTTGAGGATAATAATTAAACAAACAAAACCCACAGCTGTTGTACGTTCCAGTCTAATCATGGTGACCTCATGTATTAGGCTCTGCAGGGTTTTTAGTGGTTCATTTTTTGGAAGTAGATGGTCAAGCATTTTTTCCCAATGTACATGTAAGTTAACTAGAATAGCCAACCTTTTGTTAAACATCCTTAATAGTATCCAGGGACTTGACAGTAATAATCAGTCTTGATAAAATCCTTATCAACAGCCTACAACTTTTTACCTTATATCACACGTAGTAATGATATGACAGTGACAAGTGACAACTTAAGTTATCACTTACTTGAATGCAATTTTTCCAATTTTCTTTTGTTGGTTTTTCTTCCACAAGTTTAGTTGCGAATTTAAGGCCTCTCCCATACATTTTATTTACTAGTGCATGCTTGTAAGCAAATGTCAAAACCTGCAATATTAAACAAGACAAAGCTTATTATCTAGGAAATGCTTACACTTTAAGGCATCCAATCTTATAATTAAGGCTCCCACAAAGTATAGCTTTTCAAATGAGTGTGTTATATTACGTAATTTTTATAAACAAAGGATTTCTGAAAGAGCTGAGTATTCAAGAGATAAAAACATATTCTGTGGAAGGAAATGAAATTCTAATTGTTGGAATTCATGCTAAAATACCACCTTAAAGAAAGAAAGCAGAGTTAATATAAATAATTGAAAAATACAAATTACAAGTAAAAAATAAAAAGAATCATTATAAACCACCAGAACTGTAAATAATAAAAATTGGGGAAAAGTACCAGATCATACAAACATGCCATTATTTAAAATTATTTCCTTTGAATAAGTTTTATTATTATATGTCAAATTAGTTATAACGACTTTATCTATCTAAATTTAGACTGCTGAGACTATCCTCAAAGACAAAAACCTTGTTACATCTATCTATACTCTACAGTCAAACAAATGAAGTAACTGTTGTCTTCAATTTAGTAAACAGAAAAAGAAGATAGATTCTAGTAGCCTAGTGGCAAGAAGCTACGCTTCAATTGCCAAGGTATGCAGTTCAAAGCCACCTGCTCCACAGGAGAAGGAAGGGCAATCTCCTTCTGTGCAATTAACTGCCTCTGAAAACTTACTGGAGGGTCAGCTATGAGTCGGTTCCGACTCTACGGCACACAATAAAAATATTAGTACTACTGCAGGAAGAAAGGAGTCTTGGTGGCAAATATTTAAGCATTTAGCTGCTGATTAAAAGGACAGTGGTTCCAAATCAGCAGTTGAAAAAAGGCAGAGGAAAAGACCTGATGATCTTTTTTCAATCAAGATTATAGCCCAGGAACCCCAACAGGATAGCTCTATTCCATTGTTTAAAGTCATTGAACATTGAAACGGATTCAGTGGTACATGACATTCTAAAAACAGAATTGTTTTCACAATTTTATTATCATATTCATCCACCGTTTTATTGACTAGATTAAGTGTCCTCTAGGCAGAGGCCTAGGTAAGTTGTGGTGGTCTAGTGGTAAGAAGCAGTACTGCAATCTAGAAGGCATGCGGTTCAAATCCACCAGCTGCTCCACGTTAGAAGGATGAGTAATCCTCCACCTGTGCGATTAACTGCCTCTTAGAGCCTACTATGGGTCGGTTCCCACTTGACAGCACACAACAACAGGCTGGGGCCAGATTTTTATCCATCTTCATGTTTCCAGGAGTAAATACTGTGCTTAGCACATAATAGATAAACAGTAACTTCTTGTTAAAATGACTGCAAATACTGTTTAAGACTCCATGTATACAGATTACCTTTTTTTACTGTACTTTGTAGATATTATAGATTTTACAAATTGAAGGAAACTATACCACAATTCTGCACAACAGAGCAAGAGTATTTTTCTAACAACATGTGCTTGTTTTAAGTCTCTGACTCATTTTGGTAATTATCATAATATTTCACACTTGTTTGTGTTACTGCTTATGGCAATAATAAATTACAGTATAGTATAAATGTAATTTTCATGCACCGGGAAACAAAAGAACTCCTATGACTCCCTTTATTGAGATTACTGCGTTAGTACTGCAGTTGTGAATTAAATCTGTGATACCTCTAAAGTTTAGGCAGCATCACCATCCTCATTCAGTTCAGATAAGAAGCTGTTTTTGTTGTCAGATATCCCTGAGTTGACTCCAACTCATCGCAATCCTACAGACAACACAACGAAGCCTCCGTTACGCTGTGCCATTCGTATAGTCTCTGCTGTTGCTCTGGCCGAGTGTCTGAGTCATTCTACCACTGCACTTCATTGAAGGTCTTCCTCTCTCTTGCTGAACCGCCACTTTTCCAAGCATGACACCAAGGACTAGTTCTTCTTAACAACATGCCCACAGTGTATGAGATGAAGGCTCATCATCCTCAGCTCTAAGCAGGACTTCAGCTGCACTTCCTCAAAGGCTGCACTTCTTCAAAGGCTTCAAATCTTCAAAGATTTGGTCACTATTTGGCAGTCCATGATATATTCAATATTCATATTCAACACAATCACAGCCATCAATCCTTCTTCAGTTTTCCTTAATCACTGTCCAACTTTTACCTGATTATACAGCAACTGATGATATCATGGCTTGGGTCAGGTGCATCTAAGTCTTAAAAATGAACATCCTTGCCTTTCTTTTGCAGCATATTTGCCTGATGCAATAAGAAACCAGGACAACAAAATTTAGTACACTGTCGAAGGTCATGCAGATAAAAGGTACAGAAGCAGGATTTAAACTCAAAGGCATGATTTGAGTTTTCAAGTCATAATCTCTATGTAGTACTTATCTCCTCAATTTTCCATATATAAGTATGTACATATATCACTATACTACCATGCACTGGTCTGTGCATTGCTGTACAGAGGTAACTCGTGGTTGCTGTGATGCTGAACACTGGGACACTGATGAGCCAAACGTGGTAATGGTTACCCATGGTGGACAGTGTTTGCTGGAGCTTCCCAACTAAAACAAGCCTGGAAGCAGGAGCGGCATTCACTTCTGAAAGGCTTGTCTCCGGAAACTCTATGTATGAACAGTGCTCAGGCGGTTCATTCACAGGGTCGCTATGAGTCATCTACGACTTGACGGCACTTAACAACAATCATGAAAAAGCCAGAAGTACAGAAGAAAAACATCTTTTCCTAATTTCAAAATTATTTTTTTGCAAATTACCACATTCACTTCTGAAATCTCTTGTCTACTGAAACTAAAAAAAGCTGGTCCTTGATAGTTCTACTGACTGATCAAATTTAATAAAATGCATGGCTATAATTCAGTACTGATTTTCATTGTTCTAGTTTATGTCTACAGGCATATAATTTTAAAAACTCCTGTCTTATAACCTCTAAGGTTAGCCTTATACTAGACAGAGCTGTTGCTGACAGGTGGTGTCAAGCTGACGATGACTCATAGCAACCCTCTCAACCACGGTCCTGAACCTTGTCCATCCTTATCATCTGATCTATTTAAACCCGCTGGTTGTCAGGGTGTGAATCCATCTTGTTTAGGGTCCTCCTCTCTTTTGTTGATCCTCCAGCTTTCCAAGAATGATGGTTTTTTTCACCAAGGACTGGATCCTCCGACCACATGGCCAGACTATGCAATGATGTTTCACTGTCCTCACCTCCAAGGAACATCGTGGTTAGACCTCTTCCTAGACAGAACTGCTTGCTCTTTCAGCCAACCATGGGACACTCAGAACTCTCCTCCAACATCACAACTCAAAGGGTATCAGTTCCTCTTCTGTCATCCATTTTTATTGTCCAATTTTCAAATGCACAGTAAGTAAATGAAAATACCATAGCTTGGATCAATGACACCTTGGTCTTTAAACAGCTATCATTGCTCCACAGCATTTTGGAGAGGTCCCTGACAGCAGACTTTCCCAATGCACCATGTCTTTTGATTTCTTAAATGGTGGTACCAAAAGTATTGACTGTAGACCTATATAAGAGGGATGAAATTGCTCACACTTCAATCTTTCTTCCATATATCGTGATGCTGTTAACTAGAGGGCTAAGAGGGTTTTGACTAATAAAAAATCCAAAGGACAGTGAAAACTGATTAACTATAGAGATGATAATTATTTAAAGCTTAAAGGGTTCTGAGGACTACCTAAATCAAACATTTACTTTTCGTCTTCAAATCAGCATATAAATAGATCTAGGCAAGTATGAAAAGAATTTTATAATATAGCTTTTAGTCAATCAGTTGAAACAGTGAGGCAGACAACATGCATTGAGAGATTTTTTTTAACCATTAAGAACTATGAGAAAAAAGAAGTGGAAAGTTACCTTATTATCAAAGAGATCAGTCCATTTTGTTGTTTCCCAAAAAGTTTCTGTAAGAGAGTCTAGAGCACTTTCTCTTTCCTCCTCTTTTCTTGCTTCATCGCATGAAACAGCCCCGTCTGGAGACTGGGAATGAAGAAGATGGTCTGCCAGGGCACATCCTTTCCGACAAAGGGCATCTACAAGGGTAGACTTCTGTTTGTCCATATCGCTAGAAAGCAAACCAAAACATAGTTCCTAGGTCAGTAAAATTTCTTTATAGTATATTCTTTTGCATGCATTTTTTTAATCTTAACATTTACAATACAGAAATATGGTATATTGTGTATATAATTTGTATCATACATCTAATAAGAATCTTTATTATTCACAGATACCAAACAAGTACTTATACTTATTATAGGTTGTCTAAGGCAAGCTGTACTTGTTGAAGCAGAATGCCATAAAGCAAAAGAGTTGAAAGACTAAGGGATTCAAAATGTGTCAACACAATTGTTTGGCTGCACGAACAGGCTCCGGGACAGCAATGATTTTAAGGATGGCAAAGAACTAGGCCACATTTTGTTCAGCTGTACGTAAGGTCACAATGAGTTAAAACCAATTTAACAATACCTAACACCAATAATGTATCTGCTACATTATTCTTTATAAGGCTGGTACCTTTCATGTTTTCAGATTCCTTACAACAATGATCATTACATATTCATCCAAGCGCATCTGCAGATGCACACAGAAGCTTTTCTAGTGGTAAACTCTCAAAGAGAACAAACATATTCTACAACTATGCCAGCAACTGACTTGTGTATTTTAATATATTTGTTTCATGATGTGCAAGATTAATTCTATAACTAAGAGTGTAGTTATACTACTCCCATTTTACAAAGCAAGCAATTGAGACAAGGTCCCACAGTTAGAGCGAGGCAGGCTCCAAATCCCGAGCTTGGCAGTCTGGCTCTGGAAGACATGCTCTTCATCACTGTGGTTAAACTGTATTGCTTTGTGGTATGCAACTCTGTTCTGATGTATGAAGGAGAACAACAACTACTTCCCAGGAAAGAATTTTACCTCTATAATATTTAAGGAAGTTGTTGAAACATTTTGCCCAATTTATTCCAAGTATAACAGCAAGAGGACTACTAAGTGTTGAGAAAGGATAATTGTGGAACTTTGATATATGATGAACAGGCCAGCATTAAGACTGACTCTCAAAGACTGAATGAAACGTTCAACATGTAAAATCTGCTATAACAATTGTTGTTGTTATGTGCCGTTGAGTCGTTTTCGACTCATAGCGACCCTATGCACAACAGCCTTAAACCCTGCTCTATCCTGCGTCAACCGCACTGCCTCTGACACACCCATCCCGATAACCCCAGTCACCGAATCAATCCATCTCATAGAGGGTTTTCCCCTCCTGTGCTGTCCCTCCACCCTCCCAAGCACGATGTCCCTCTCCAAGGACCCGTCCCTCCTGGCAACATGTCCAAAGTATGTCAGACGAAG